AGATGGCGCTCAATCAGATTTTTTTTGTAGTTTCCATAGTTTCCAACTGCCATTGTCATACTATTGTCAAATTCTCAAAAATATTGTCGTCATAGCACCAATCATAATATTATCAAAATTTTTTTATTTTCAAACTATAATTTGTTATATGTGTTTTTATTAGACAATTCCTTTTGTTCGTGGCCCTAAAAATATAATGTAAGTCTTTTATTTTTGCCATCATTTAAGTACCTATTTATATTTACTCCATTTACAAAACTTTGGGCGTATTACGTTGGTCTTGTTTTATTATAATAAACGATGTTTAAATATTTGACATACAAATAAAAACTTTAAAAAATAAATAATATTTACACATGTTTGGCTTTAATTTTATTTAATAATTGTATAAATTATACTGTTAAATCTTATTTTTTACACATCACAACGATACTTGTTATTAGTATTGTTGAATTAGTGTAAATAAGATTTAATAATCAAATTTAATTATTTTAGAGTAAAAGTCAATAAATCCTCTCATTTAAAAAGCCCGCGCTTCGATCCATTTAAAACAAGCCCTACTCAATAGATGGCGCCACTTCTGTAGGACCATTTTTCAGTATGGCAGAGTCCATTCTTTTTCTAGCTAGGTATATTCTTTGCTATTACCTACATTAGAAATTGTTACGTTGCCAATATGTGCTCAACGCGTATCCAGAACACGATTCCCATGGCAACGAGAATACCAAAATCGACTACCTTGCGTTTCGCTGATCGAATACTTGCGCTCACCGCTTTGAAAGCGTAACGTTTTTATGTCAAAGTTACAGAATAGTCAAAAGTTGATAACTGACGGATGTAACAATGAAAAATGTCATTATTACGTGACTTTTATAACCTATTGTTGAGTTATGTCAAGCTATTTTTCTATGGATATGTCATTATTCTTATTATACGAGGGAAGTGTTAAAGACTCTTCCCAGCATTTTCGATGTTTTGAACAATATTTATAGCTGCTAAGTCGTAAATGATCAATTACTTATTGAGGAATTTATAGAAGAAGTAGTAATTTTCACTAAAGAGCAAGATAACGCGCAAAATCACAATTTTTTCGATTTTCACTGACAGTTCGACAAGCAAAACGATCCTTTAGGCAACCGTTTTCAAGGCGCTCAGCGCAATCAGTAAAGACGCTAAGCGCGTCAGACGAGAATACCGGAATCGTTAATTAAATACGCGCTCAGCGAAAATTAACGTCATATATGCTGAGCGTCTAAAAGCGCTTAGCGTTTTCAAAGTTACAGAATACGGGCCCAGGGGCGCTATTCTGTAAAATCGTCGGCATCGGTAAGTTACGACAGCTCTCGATACGTATTTGTATATAGTAAAAATGTGTTAATTGTTGTTGTCATAGTTACCGATCGGTCCTATGGCAAATATCGCAAATTTGTACCGACGAAAATCGGTATCTCTACCGTGCCCTTCTCAACCTCACGGTAGAGATACCGAGAGTCGTCGGTACAAATTTGCGATATCTGTCATAGGGCCGATCGGTAACTATGACAACAACAATTAACACATATTTACTATATGCAAATACGTACCGATAGCTATCGGTAACTCACCGATTCCGACGATTGTGCAGAATAGCGCCCCAGGACAAGACACGAAAAACATTAGACGATCAATTCTATTTTTCCAAGGCTCCTGGATTAAAAATTAGCTTTTTTAACACAGCCAAAGCACTCTAGATTGAAATTTGGATTCTTTTTAATCAAAAATGTCAAAAGTTGACATGATATGTCACTCTATCCAGAGTGTCATTTTTTATCGAATAAAGTAAAAATATACCGATGATGGTGCCATTTAAAAATCAAAAGTCTAAAAATACTATCAGATAACCCTAATAAAGTGGCTATGAGAATGTGCAATTAGTTTTTTGATTTTCTAAAAAGTAACGACAGGTAAAAATAATTTATTTTCAAAAAAATTCGTTTTTTCCAAAAAAACTCAGCAATCCTTGAAATTTTTAAAACTTTTTTGATGGCATCTTGGTGAACATCCCAAGGCACAACTTTGCCCCAATTTAACCATCTTCGTATCTATTACGGTTTCGGAGATACCAATTCTCGTACCTCGAATTTGTAGCACCCTGTATATGCAACGTGATTTATATGTATTTTTGCGCGCGAGCTGGTTTTATTTATTCAAAATTAATTAATTAATTTTAATTTAATTGTTAATTTTCATTTTAATAAAATGAAAAAGAAAATTCCTGATTAAGAAAAACAACATGAGTTTTCTCCACTCTGTCCAAAACTGTTTTGACCAGGACGGTTAAAACTTGGTTAAAAATACTGGTTTAGACCGCTATGCCCAAAACTTGCCAACCCTGATTTAAGGCTTACAATGCTCTGTTACTAGATCCACTATAGCTTTGACAGTCTTTCTGCCTTTGCTTATCAGGTCTGCAGTAAATTTTGGCGAATTTTCAATTGTGATCTTTTTCGCCTCTCTCTGCCCTGATGATAATAACATGGTTAGAGGAACGCTCATCCAGTATTTAAAGTGTTTTGGTGTATTGTAGTGAATTGCTGTTTTATTTTACCATTTAACAAAAACTTATAACTCTTATTTGCTCGATTTTACTTTATGACTACCACATATGCATATACATCTAAAATTAAAAACTAACTATCTCGGTTCATTGTAACATCATTATCAGTGATGTTGTGGTCATTGTTGGGTCGTTAAGATCGACTAAAAGATTTTTACATTGTGCAGCCACAATGTATAATACACTGTTTCATACTCGGTTGTTTCAGTTTCCTTTTATACCATTCGGAGAATGTGATAATGTCGGTGTAAAAGTTACGCAGTCGATTTTTATTTATGAAGAATTATTTGGTGGGCGAACCAGATAACTCGCCTTGTGTGAGAAAGATTACACGTAATTATTATTTTTTTTTAATTTTATTTACTCATTCCAATATTTAACATGTTTTATCAGTGTCTGTAGTCTGTCCAACGAGAGGAACTATCACGATGCCGATTCTATCTGTCATTTTTTGTATATTGTCTATCGGAATATTCCCTTACTCGTTGGACAGACTATATTTCTTGATTAAGTCGTGTTTCTGAATTTAACATAATAATTATAGAATCAGGGTATTATGTAAGATAAAACTGTAGCTTATTTAAATGTGGTACACGATAATTCATTATTGAAACGATAATAATTTCGGACTTCCATTGTTTTTATTTATTTTTACTTACACAAGGTGTCAGTCAGCCACCTAATCTGCGAATTTTTTTCGACAGATAAGTAGATTTAGCTTCAGTACCAATTAGGGTTCAGAACCCGGTTCTTTTGAGATATCAAAGAACTGGGACTCGAAATTATTAGTTTCCGGTTCTTTCGGGACTCGGTAATAATAATTAAAAACATATTTTTTGTTACGTGCGAAAAACTTTTGATACTTTTTAGTGGTCGAAATCAAAATCTTCTAAATAAGTAGTGATATTATCTCTGACTGCTCTTACTTCTGGAGTTATTTTGAAGTTTCTATAATGTTTATTAACAATTATTATAGAAGTTCAAATATTTTATTTTATTATTTATAATATTGCTAAATATGTATTAGTTATATTTTTTTGTGTTATGATTTTATAGGCAGTTGAATCTTTAATTGAAAATGTAAGTTTTGTTTTTCAAATTTAATTAAGTTGGTTTCGAGGTTGGTTGATGTTGTTTGATGTAATTTTTAAGCTACCTATGTGTTTTCGTTTTTTTTTCGATTGTGTTCACGTTTACTTTCTCATGTTTTAATATTTTGATATTATTTTCATTTGAAACTCAGTTACTTATCGGTTTTACTTTTGAGAACCATCCCTTGCTTGCTGATTGACGAACTCCATAATCGTTGAACGAAAATATTTTAGTACGGTTCCGGAAATTCTAATTAATACTACGAATTAGGATTCAGATCTTTTTGGCCATCACAGAACCGGGCCTCGAAATTAATTCCCGGTTTGTTCGGGACACGGTAACAATAATTAAAAAATAGAGAAAGTCCTTTGATACTTTCTAGCGGTCGAAACAAACTCTTCTAAATAAGGTATGATGCTATTTCTAATTGTTGTAATCTAACTTTCTAAAAAAATATTATAGTATAAGGCTAAAGAATAATCACTGTCAGTTATGTTTTAATAGATGTTTGTATTTTTAATTCAATATTTTAGGGCTTTTGTCTCAAATTCAGTTAAGTTGGGTTTTTTGTTCGATGTGAAATTTAAGTTACCTATACTTTTTTCGTTACTTGTGTTCATGTTTAGTTTTCTTATGACTGATTACTTAATAATTTGATATTATTTTGATTAAAAATCTCATTTTTTTATCCATTTTACTTTGAAAAACCGGACTCGGTAATAATAATTAAAAACATATTTTTTTGTTACGTGCGAAAAACTTCTCTAAAAACCATCTCTTGCTTTCTGATATTGTATTGTTGTTTGTGAATTGCACCACCATTGAACAAACATTAGTCAGTACCGAAAGTACAGAAAAAGCCCGGAAAATCTCGGTTCCTAAGAGGCGCGGTACCGAAATTTCCGGTTCCAAAAAACAGCTCCTGTTCCGGAAACCCTAGTACCAATCACTAATCCTAAAATTCTCTAACACTGTATTACCAACTATCGTATGATCGAATAAAAACGGCGTCAGAGATGGCTATGAAATGACAATCGATGACATTTCCCATATAATTTTACATATAAAATGACAGCGATCTTTATTTCATAGCCATCGCTGACGCCGTTTTTATTCGATTATACGGTATTTCAATCATTGTTGATCGCTCCGTACATTACACTTGATTTGTCTTACAAAAGTTACAAAACTCATAAGATGAACTCTTATGCATCTGATAAAAGCTCTCTACAAACATTTACTCGTCACAAAACAATCCTTTTCCACTTAAACCAACTTATTCTTTATACATTTTTCTTTCTCTCCTTTGCAGAAGCTCTTCTCCAAAGCCGACCCCTGCCGCACATCCCCAGCCTGCCCGAGACGGACCCCCCGTCCGGAGGGGGATCGGGGGGCGGCGGCTCCACCGCTTCCGGCGCCGCCGCCTCCTCCACCCTCTCGTCTAGTGGAGGGGCTAGCGGAGGGACCGCCGGCGGTGCCTCCACCCCCCTCTCCCTGGAGACGGCGGCGAACCGGTGGACCTCCAAGGAGAACCTGTTGGCCCAGGAGGAGGACGACCCGCAGCTGTTCGTGGCGCTGTACGATTTCCAGGCGGGCGGCGAGAACCAGCTTAGTCTCAAGAAGGGTAAGATTTTCGGATTGTTATTTTCGTTTGGGAGTAAGATCCGTATAGGTGGATGGTACTGAAAGAGATAATATTCTCAGGAAGTTTAAGGGATAAAACTATTATAATTGTGTTTTGGCTCTGTTATGCCAAATTTAGTAAATGAAAGTTTTTAGAAATACTTACAGTTATATGCAAAGAAACGAAAGCACTAAACGAATTTCTTCCAGACTATGCTAGAGGTGTAGTTCGTGAACGAACTGGTTCCAATGAACTATTCCGGCACCGGAATGAATGGAACTAGTTCCTGATTTCTCAAAGACTAGTTCCTCAGGACCTATGCCGGGATCGATATTGTGACCAATAGGCCCGTGCTATAAAAATAGTGCGATCGTAGCCCGATGCTAGGTGGGAGTGGAGAGTGCCAGCCGTATGTTACCTGTCCCGGGCCGAAAGGACTGAGAGGAACTAATTAAAAGACTAGTTCACGAGAATCTATTCAGTCGGCAGATCCGAAATATAATACAAGGCGACGACGATGGATTCGGCTTTGTCTATTGCCACTGCCGCGCCGCGCCGGCGTAATTACCACAGAACATTGTCGTGAATACTGCTTTTGATTTTTAGTTGTTTCTTTGAATATTTTATGAGAATATTTCACTTTTGGTCCCTAAAATTAAGAAATATAATAAAACGAAATAGGTATTCTGAATTTTTAGACAAAAAACAAAAAGTTTGAAGCGAGGAAAAATCTCCGGAAAAATGCAATTTTTCGTAAAATTTTCGTATTATTTGATGCAATTGATTTGTGATATAGATTTTTAAACTCTGATTTGAGTTTCTTTTATAATTTTTTTATCTGAAATAAAACTTACCTATATGTTTTTAACATACGCAATTACACGTCCCGTTATATTTCGTATATTATAAAAATTATACAGATCATACTGTGAATAGTTCTGACTGAAAAAGAAACAACGAAACTCATTAGCAAGCAACGGAGATGTCAATGTTAGTCGGGAACTATTGTGAACTAAAAACCTAGTTCAAGGAACTATTCCTCTGGAGGAACTAGAACTAAGGAACTAGAATTCCCACCTCTAGACTATGGGTCAAATGCCTTTCAACATTGGGCGCATTTTATACGACAAGCAAGTAGCGTCATAGGCTTGACAGACGTATGGACTAGAGTCGGTATTTTTTATTCAATGATTCAAAGGAAACCTCAAACGATCGAGATCGTACCCCTATCACATTCGTGTTTCGTCCAGACTATGCGTCCAACGTTTCTTGTCAACTGAAACATGTTTTGTTTTCTGTCCAGTGCCAAACATTACTGCCCAACAATCTATAGCTCTATGCTTAATGGAAAAAGTTAATAATAACTATATTAATAAATAAAAATAGTTGTGGAATGGAATAATGAAGAACATTTTACAGTTTTAGTGTATATGAAAAAGGTGTCCAACCCTTCAGGATTTTCTCCTTTTCAAAAAGTCTAGCAACTTGGAGCCTGGACCCTCCATAATAGCTCTTTGTTAATGGCTTATCATTTCCTTATACAAAAAACCACACATTTGCCAGGCTATGGCACTGACTTTGATTGTGTTCTTCTGTTTCTTCTTGTGATTGACAAAATCTGCACGTGGCTTCATCCGTTCCAACTTCCAACAGCTTTACATGCGTATTTATCTTTAACAACAACAAACATAGCGCGTTTTTTCAAAATAAATAAATACGATAGTATGTGTTATTTTAGCTGATAGTAAAGAGTAGTAAATGCTTAAAACGTCAGCGAAAACCGCATCTTGATATCTTCTTTCAAACCGAAGATATTAGCAAAATTATAATAAATACCAAAAATAAGTCCTTAATCACCTTATTTTTACAATACAGTATCAGTAGCCCTCTTGATTATGCCCATTCTAACCTAAAAATAAGATAGATTTTTTTTTTATTTTACAGTTTATTTTAAAATCGACGATATACCAGAATATCATAATACCAGATGTATTAATATCTAATAATTAAGATATTAATAATAGTGAACAAGAAACGATGATTCAGTGAAGTCATGGTAGGCTTTGGAAAAAAGTTGCTTTTCGCGTAATAGTATAAACGTCAAATTGTTATTAGATCAACAATTTGATAGTCTTAGCAGCGTTTTTTTTAATCTTTTAAATGCTTTTTCAAAATGCCTTTATTATTTGAAGTAGTTGAAGTTGTTGGCATTTTGAAAAAGCAATCAAAAGATAAAAAACGCTGCTAAGACTATCAAAATGTTGATCTAATAACAATTTGACGTTTATTCTATTACGTCAAAACCAACTTTTTTCCAAAGCCTACCATGACTTCATTGAATCATCGTTTCTGTGTTAATAATATCTTAATTAATGTATCTGGTATTATGATATTCTGGTATATCGTCGATTTTAAAATAAACTAACTGTTTCTATCTTATTTTTAGGTTAGAATGGGCATACTCAAGAGGGCTACTGATACCGTGTTGTAAAAATAAGGTAATTGAGGGCTTATTTTTTTGGTATTTATTATAATTTTGCTAATATCTTCGGTTTGAAAGAAGATATGAAGATGCGGTTTTCGCTGACTTTTTAAGCTATTACTACTCTTTGCTATCAGCTAAAATTACATATACTATTGTATTTTTTTTTTTTTAAACGCGCAATGTTTGTTAAATTGTAAGACAACGCCCCCTAGCGTCTACGTTCAAAAGCTTATTATTGTTGTTTATACGGTACAATATAGAGTAAGAAACGCTCTTTTAAACGAGCCATCGCTTGTTGGATTCCGATCATCCAGTCCAGAATTATTAATATTCAAATAAAAACAGATCTAACCTTCCCCCACCACTTTATTTTGGTAGATAGGGGAAAATGGCTCTAACAAAAAATATTCAAAATTTACTGAAGATTATGAAGCTGTTACTTATAGTACACCTTATCTAGGCAAAATTGTGTAAAAACTTAATTTTCTTATTTTTTGTTGCAGTTGCGCCCCCTAGCTGTCGTTCTACAAACTTGAAAATAATTTCCAGCAGTTTCCCATAGCCTCTTTAGTTATAAACATTTTTTCCGCACCCGCTACGGCTAATACTTTCCGAGATACAGCCGAGAGCTATTCTTAGTGGGACACCCTGTACATTCGTTCGACTTGTTGACAACAAACTGTCGAACTCGTGTGCAAAACGTCGTTTTCGAAACTCGTTTTTTAATATACTATTTGATAACTATCCACTTTTTTATTTTCTCCATTTTTTCATTAACCCTTATATCCTCAGTTAAGCTATTGTCAAACAACAACAAACATAAAAATTGCTGACATCTTGGTGGGCGTCTTCCAAGAGAGCCGCAGATAAATTAAGAGCAGGTTTTGTTATATGAATGTTGCCGTGTACATGGTGAGGTCTGAAACTTGTCAGTTTACCCTCTTAAGTTTACAGAGAACCTATTTTCTTCTTTGCATATTACTCTCGTATATTTTTGCCAACTTGCTTCACAACATAAAATATAATTTGTAGCACTTGTTTCGAAAATAACTATTTCGTTATCTTTTCGTTTTTAGGTGAACAAGTACGAATACTGAGCTACAACAAGAGCGGAGAATGGTGCGAGGCGCATTCGTCTTCCAATTTGGTTGGGTGGGTGCCATCCAACTACGTCACGCCCGTCAATTCGCTGGAGAAACATTCGTGGTACCACGGGCCGATATCGAGGAACGCCGCAGAGTACCTGCTCAGTTCTGGAATCAATGGTAGTTTTTTAGTTAGGGAATCGGAAAGCAGTCCCGGCCAAAGGAGCATATCGTTGAGATACGAAGGGCGGGTATATCACTATAGGTAAGATGGTTTTTGGAAACGACACAACTAGAATTAGCTAAAGACGTCAATAAATATAGAGTAATCCACTGCATATAATAATCGATGGCCTACTTTAAAAATTGTATGTGTATACATTTCTCTTGTACGCTTTGCGATAATATTTATATAGTACTGTTCTTTTAAAAGTTCCTCAATATGGCCGACCTAGTTACGAAAATTGGTAATTTTTTTTAATGAAAAATAAGTTGGCGTTAGCGAATTCAGAAATTAATTTACTCTTTGATTAACAATAATATTTGGTTATTGATTAACAATAATATTTTTCAGGATTGTCAAGTTGACGTTAAAGTTAGGTTATTAGGTGCGATTAGGTGGTTGTTATAAATAAAAACATAGATTATTGAAATTATTTAATAAGAATAAAGCTATTTTACCGCAGATCCGAAGAGATTTTACTTAAAGGTATTTTATAAACGTTCTCAGTGAGAATATTAACTTCCCTGTTTCTTATATTTCAGTTAAAGGGGCGTAAGAACTATAGGAAGTAAATTTTTGTTTTCATGTTTTGACGATATCTGAGTGTTCCTAGAATTATCAAGATTATTGAATAATTATAGTTGTTTAATAAGTGAAATTAATAGAAGACTTGGAAATAGGATGATGCTTTTCATGTTATAGTTGATAGATCACCCCATTTCTCTTAATTTGTTTTTATTTCAGTACAGTTAATCACAAATTGAATTGATGTGTTGCAAAAACAGCTATATATTTTCAAACATCTTATTCAAATAGTTCTTTTATATACTGTTAAACTGTATCAACTACAAAGTATTTAGCAAAAAATTATAAGGTAATAAATTTTGTAGATATAATTTATGAAAATTTATAATATATAAAGATTAGAACACAATCCTCTGAAGGAAAAAGGAACACTCAAAACCTCATTAAATATACTTTATTAAAAATAACAACATACAAAAACATTCATGCAAACTGTAATAATCAGAACATTATCCACATTATACCTTTATTAAATTTGTGTCCACACTCCTGTCAGGAAAGCCAGAAATGTTTTGGTGCTTGGTGTTTGATATTCTAACTACATCTATTACAAACCTTAAGTGCTTTTAGTGAGTAACTGTATTTTTTATTATTCTTTGCGTATCCTGTAAAGTAAAAAAATATATATTTCAAGAAATATAAAAACATTGCAATAGATATCAAACAGATTCATAAAAACTACTTACAATTATTATACATAATTATATATTTCAAGTGTTATTTGATGTTTGGTCCCATTACTAACATTACCTTATTTAGGTCTTCTCTACTAACTCAACTTTTAAACCTGTTTTAAACCTTCTTTATATTTTAAAACTGATTTACAACAATCTGTAATGCCCGCGCTGTTTCCTGAAATATAAGTTTTAATCTATTTATTATTATATAGTACATATTACAAATCTGAAAATTACTGATACGAGGAAACTTCTCAAAATAATTAGAGACCTTTTTACAAACATCGGGACTAATTTATTTTCACGAATTTGTGAACGAGTCAATGTTTTCTAATACGTTTTTAAGCGTTTTACACATTTTGAATATCGTCCAGCGTATTCCTCAATTCTTGATCGGTGAAAAGATTATTTATAACTATATAATTAGTACTGCAGGTTGCAGGTTAAATAGAAGAAGAAAATCAAGTAGAATTTGTGAATAAAAACTCAAAAAATAATGAAAATATTTAGAAAAAGGAACCGTAAACGTCAATGTCAGCCAAGTGTCAGATTCAATTTACCCAGATTATCAATTTGAACGATTTGAAGTACAGTCGATTCCAGTTTAGAGATTTTCGTTTTTTAAGCCTCCCATACTGAAGTCCGCCATATTGGGAAGTTTTAAATGAATACAAGAAAAATTGGTTAAAGAATATCTAAACTTAGTAGCAGCTTAAATTTGAGTTAATGTCTCTTTTTTGCTGCTGAGGCTAATCTAGACGGGGCCTACTTTGTTTACGCAGATTCCGAACCGCGGTCCTTGTTCATACCAATGTCAATGGCCTACCGATTTAGCGAGTGTCTAAATCGAATCTTACGAGATATCCGATCTCACCCGGCCCCGAAGAGGCGTCATGGAGCCATGTGTATCAATAGATTTTACACTCTTGCCACGAAACAAGAGCACGACAGAGTTTCTAGACTTTCGGTCGTCCATCCACTCACATAGTTTACGTCGCGTAACTTCGGGTACTTGAAGCGCCTATATACCGGGTGCGTCTCAAAAGTGGCTCACCCCTATAACTTTTTTATTTTTTTAGATGAAAAAACGAGATATCTTTTAACCGGACGTGCACAAAATTTTACAAATTTTACCTAAACAATATAAATTGCCATATGATGTAGATGTTACCTGTGGCGCTGTATAATATCACCAATAATGGGTAAATAGATAAACATATAAATTCAATACACGAACAGATAATTAAAATTAAATATTTTATTTGTTTCCTTTTGCCAATAGGTAATTGAATGCGAAATTGAATTGTTTTAGTGAATTACGTATATTAACGATTTAACGCAATTAGATGTACAAATTTACACAATTTAGAATAGAACTATGTTTAACATAAGTACTTTGTACTTTATCATCAAACCCTTATCTGTGTTTCAACATTGACAGCTAGGAATGATGAATCATCATAATTTGCGAGTAGTAATATTAAAAATATTTGTTGTGGTTTTGTTCAATGCTAGGCATTTCTTTACTGACCAACAGGCTGTGTAGCTCTATGTTGATGGTAGATCTCGATAAAAGAAACATATTTTCTCTTTACCGTTTTTCAATTAAGTCCAAAATAATCGAGTTATTTTACTTTGAAAAATAAAAAAAATATATTTTTTGCTCATATTTTGAGAACCACTGTTTTTTTTCTGGGCTTCCTTTTTTGTAAATTTAATTCCTATCTATGTTGCCATAATATTAAGATATTATGTTTTTAACTAAAAATAAAAAAATCATTTTTTTTATATACCCAATTTTCAAAAATCTTTTTTTGCGAAAAAACCTCATAGAGGTGTCTCTGGGGTGGGAATATACCACCCTTAAAAATATTTGCACTCACCCTCGTATATAATAAATAAGCAACCTGTATTACTGGCAATTTAGTAGGCATTCAATCAAGGCATACATGCTTATCATGACTGATTTTATAGTTCATATCTTAGTGAATGACCATTATTCACAGTATGTATAACAAACTTTATTACATTTTACAAAGTATTTTTATAATGGAGAAATTATTAAACAGTTGTAAAAAATATATATATCAAAGTATAAATAAAAGAAAAAATATTATTTATAAATCGTAGTTAGGTTCTTCGCCTTTAGCCTTGGCCTGAGCGATGGCCCAGTGGTTTTCAGTAGGTAGCACAGTTTCTTTCACTACTGGAACTTCCAACATCGCTTTTTTCCATTCCTTTAAATCAAATACGTCGGCGTCTTTGACGGGCAGTTTTTCGCCTAATGTCAAAGAAATAAGGCGGGTTCTTTCCACCCATGGCCATAACATGTAATCGACCTAAAATGGAATAGTAAAAATTATGACTCTTTGGTATTTTTATAATTTTAGTTAATGTTCAAATAATTAAAAAATATAAGTGCAAAAGAATAAATAATTATACAAAATATTTGGGAAATATCAACATTATTAAATTTTATGCGGGCCATCTGGCTGCCGGTAGACGTTGCGTTCACTACTGCGCATCACATCTGTACAGGTTCTTACAGGTGTCTGTACTGTTATTTTATTTAATTTAAATAGATAATTTTGCTTTCTATCGTGTTGTTTTACCAAACTAAACTGAAAATGAACTCGTGCAGCTTTTAGATAACAAGGGGGCTGTCAATCAGAGATATTGATATTTTAGATGCACTTGTGCAATAAAATCACACACAGAAACTGACGTGGAATAGCCAATAACAAAAATTTGACGTCGGATAAATTATCCAATTGTTTTGATTACCTAATTTAATCCGGCCGCCTGTGATAAAATATGAAACAATGCATTTTTTCACTTTATTTATGAAAATAAGTATAGAGTATGGTATATTTTTAGAAAGCTCATAAGAAGGCCAGTAGAATAATGAAATATACAGGGTATCCCCTTTAAAAACATAAGTTTAGGTCATATTTCAATAAAGACAGCTCCCAGCGAAACAACAGTTACGCCACTCAATTCTACATGTAAATCTCTATGTGGCTTAGTTTTCATCTTTTCGATAAGTTATAAGATAACCGAGATACGAAGGGTGTCGAAAAATTGCATCAATCTCAATTTCGCCCTGTATTTAAGAAACTGAGAAGGCTAGGACATATCTATGTGTACCATATTTAGTTTCATAAAAATGCGACAAAGTATAATGTAATAATTTATCATAAACGAGAAATTCCATAAAACACACGAAATTGGGACAGCAGTGAAAAATGTGTGAAATGGATGCGCAATAGTGAACGCGACGTCTACCGGCTGCTACATGGCCCGCACGTTGTTCAAGAGAGCATAGCAAAAGATATTATATTAAAGAACCAGCTTTCTTAAAATTCTCTCTCGAAAACGTTGCTAGCTCTTAGACTAATAGGTGACAAACAATAGGTGGAGTGACAGTTGATGAAATGATGAGACAAGCAAGCAGAAATCCAATATTTAAAGTACAATATTACAAAAAATGTGTGTGTTGAATTATTTTAGTATTGTAATTGGTAATGTTCTATTTTATTTTTACCACGCTAGATGTTTTCATACAATATGAAATTGATAATATACTCAAAGTGCTTGAAATAGTTTGTTTCAAGAAGAGTAAAAGTGAATTAGCTATTAAATCTTGGAAAGAGTATTGGCTGTTAGGACGCTTTTTGATGTCTGAAGATGGCTATAATCTTAGATATTTTGGAGATGTACAGGGTGGGTCAAATTGGACGCTTTTAAAGGGAAACACCCTTTTCTATAGGAGATAGACGACAACTAATATCGGTGTCTGGAGCTCAATTTTTATCAAAAACGTGATGGTGAAAACCGCACATCGATATCTGTTACCGTTTTTCAAAACTGTGCATTTTTAACAAATCGCTGTAACTTTTTTGCTATGGACAATTTTGTATTTTTATGCAAACATTTCCAAAGCACTTTTTTACGTAGAATTTAATGGTTTAAGTATATTTTTTTAAATTTAATAATTTAAGAATTATCAACAAAAATTTTGATTTTTTATATGGGAGACACCCTGTATATTTTTAATTCATTAAAAACAATTTAAAATTACCTTTCCAAAATATAGCATACTTGATATTTTGCTTGATTCCTCTTCGAGATAGAGGTTTTAAAAATTCGCCCACTTTGTATAAGTAGGCTTTGAACTGCGCCGACTGTAATGCAAAAAAATCTTCCTTGTAGTAGCAGTTAAAACGAAAATAATATTTTCAATGAGAGATGCAGAATTTTATAACAATATAAATTATATTTAACAACATCAACACCTTTAAACTATATCTAATAACAATAACAATTAATAGCAAACCAAGACATGAGATTTTGCTACAGTTGTTCGACATGTCGACCGTCTTTTGTTATGGACAGACGAGACCGTTTTGGAACATTTCTCGCGGAATTCATTAACTCAGTGGGGATGGAAGTTACCCTCGCATAACCGCTAAGTACTTCTAATTCTTGTCTAGATTATACGGGCAATTTTAAAATAAAAACCTTTATTCTTCCGCAGAGGTAAAAATCTATACGCACTAAGCTCGGCGGCCTCGATGACCAACTGCTGGGATCTTGATTAGCTATTCAATTCTCGAAATTGGCTGCAAAAATTTGCTGATAACTTCAGCGTTTTGAGGCGATGCCTCGTCTTGCTGGAAAAATATGTTTTCGAGTTCCATTAGGGGCAATCAATAATTCTTTTATTTTTTTGTTCTTTGACATTGTAAACATTTATAAATGTTTATTTTAAACAATAAGACTGACAATATTATTTGTATAATGTTTTGTATTATCTTTTGTTTGTTTTTTTTTGTGTACCTTGTTTGTCTACTTTGTTTGTTTAGTTTACCTTTGTCTACAAATTGAAAAATTTTTTGTTTTGGTTGTGTCCAAGCCTACTAGTTAAAAGTGGCGAACTTTAAAAAATTCTGTATTTCTGAGAGGAGTATAACAAAATATCAAGTGTGCTATATTTTTGGAAAGGTAATTTTAAGTTTTTTTTCATTTAACTAAAAATATACAGGATGTCCCAAATAAAAAATCAATTTTTCTGTTGATAACTCTTAAATTATTAATTTTAAAAAAATTATACTTGAACTATTAAATTCTACGTAAAAAAATGCTTTGGAAATGTTTTCATAAAAATATAAAATTTTCTATAGCAAAAAAGTTACAACGATTTGTTAAAAATGCACATTTTTGAAAAACACGTCGTAATTCCGAAATGGTAACAGATATTGATGTGCAGTTTCCACCATCATGTTTTTGATAAAAATTGAGCTCCAGACACCGATATTAGTTTTCATCTGTCTCCTATAGAAAAGGGTGTTTCCCTTTAAAAGCGTCCAATTTGACCCACTCTGTACCATAAAGCTGTCCAGAAAGATCCATATAAAAATCATTAGTGTTAGGAGATTGAAAAGATTATTAAGTGGAAATTAAAAAATGTTCTGTTACGTATGAAATTAAACTTTAGTCAAATCAAAATAGTAAGTTTGAAGTATTAACTTCCTAATTCTTCTATCAGCTCTATCATAAAACCCTAAGTTAAAGAAACTAATGATTTAATATTGGAAATTAGATAAGCGAGGGAAATTAGGTAAAAAGGAGATAAAAAATGTTACTTTTTTTGTATTTATATATGTTTGATTCGGTTCATAAAATGTACCTTTTACCTGGGAAAACAAAAATAAAATTCAGAGTTTTTGTAAACACTCATTAGAAAGGTAATGACATATGTTTGCAGTTGCAGCAAAAACAATTGCGCCGTTTGTTTTATTTCGCCATTATATAGTTTTTCAACTCCATTAATGTAGATATTTATTAGCTTTCCGTATTTACTGAAACAAGAGTAAATTTATCATTTGCCCTGCAGTAGAATATTTCAAAAATTTGTTTATGTCTGCTTTGGGGCAGTATTTTTTCGTAATTTTTAAATTTATCGAGCTTTAGTGAATTTACACAGATATATGTATTTAATTAAAAAGGAATATATTTGTTTTATTATTATGCCTTATCACTACAAACCTCTATTTTTAGCTTTCATTAAGATAATCTTCTAATGACCAGCTATTTTTCCTGGTATGTTATATACATTTATCGTCTCATTTAGTTTCTTTAAACAATTCTATTTTTATTTAAAACAATTTACAAATAACGCGTGCCAAAAATATGTATAGTACATCAATTAACGTTTTAGTTTAGATCTATCTAAATTGGTGAAAATATACGGGCAATGCACATCAGTTATCGTTATAAAACTGAATTTAAATATATATTAAGTTATTTGCGATGTTTTAATGAATTTAAATGTAGATAATTATTTTTATTAATGTTATACTTACAGTAAATAAGATTAAAAAAGCGCGAACTATATGCAAAAGAGATAGTTTTGACTGTAGTATTCATCCATAGCCACTATAGAATTGCTATCAAATATCGTTTATATCTTTAAACACTAAACAAAATTGCGACAAACTTTATATTTTTGAAATAAGAAATTAATCGTCGATTATTCAACTCAAGGATCAGATATAGATGGAGGAACCACTGATCTAAGAAGATCGACATGTGACATATCGTCACCTTGGAGTTATACTGTTGTATGTACATAAATGCTTGTTTTGAGTTATAACGAAAACAAAATTTTAATTTATATTACTCGACTACTACTTCAGTAAATAGAAATATTATTGCTGATAATAAAAATTTAGGGCCTATTATCTAAATTCCCGTATCTGAGCATTAAGAAAAAGGATAGGACACCTTTTTTTTTGGGAACTCAAAAAAAACATACAATTTTGTTATCTCACAAAACTTATTTATTTTGAAATATAGGTTACATACAACTTTGTATCAAAAATATATTTTGGTAGTTTACAGCAAAATATTAAATGATTAACATAAATACATCTATATTAACTAAAACATGTAAAGAAAATACTAATGAAAGGTAAGAAAAAGTGAATTCTTTAAAAAAAACTTGAATTTAACTTTTATTATTTTGGCAATATTGCTTCGAAGTACATTTTGTCCACCTCTGGCATCCATGGGTACATGCTTTTGATAGCCTTGATTTTTTCTGTAGAGATACTTTTCTTTTCTCTTACAACCATTTGGACTTTTAATTTCTACAACCGATCTGGTTTTTTGCAGTGGCCTGATTGATACTTTTTTCCAATTTAGTGATTGATGAGAATCTTTATACTCTACCTCTATAAAACTACTTGTAAACTTTAGAGCTTTTACTTTTGAAAAAGGAATAAGTTTATAATTAAAAATAGATGTACATGCCTTGTAATCTTTAAAGTCTTCACTG